ACATTTAAAAATCCCCTTTTGCATATAATTTTATATCTGGAGATATGGAAGACTTACATAAAAACCAGGCATATATTTAGACCGGTCACTTTAATACAAGTCATCTGATATATTACACCCCCGAGCTGGAATCTACAGGAGAGCAGAAAATGATATCTCCTTACCCGTCCCAGCAGGTATGTCATATTTCATATCTAGACGTTCGGCGGGTGATTCTGCATATTAATCTACTTGTGGATAGAATGTTACAGGTATCCAGGGAAAGTTATTGCCCTGGTATCAACTTGGGAGGGATTTTGGTTCTAGCTTGGGTCTCTGCCCAACTCCCTCCCCAAATGAGGCGATTGGTTCTCTGCTTCAAGGAGACACCCTGCTGAGTTCCTAGAAAAGCTGTTATGCTTGGAGCTAAGAAAAGAAAAGCTGAGTTGAGTTGAAGTTGAAGAAGCTCCCTTTTAACATCGGAACTAACTTTGGGAGATAAGGGCCTTTTGCTCAGAAAACTTGAAAGCTGCTTAACCCAGGGCTTTTTGGCAAGTACTTTATCTCTCTAAACTTTATGTTATCTCTTTGCTGTGTTATTGCTCTCTGTATATTTATATATATATATTGGCTACATCTTTTTCTGTAAATATTTTTATTGCACCCTTTTGACCCTTTTAGTAATAAATCTTACTTTCTGAAAGTGTTGAACTATTCCTAAAACTCTTTTATGCAAACTAAGAATCCCTGCCTCTGAAGAGCGCTACTGCGTGTGTTTAAACCTCTATATATCCCTGCCTGCGGTGACAGTGGTATGCGGACAATTATTCAAACATCATAGTGTTATTGCTAATATTGCCGAGTTTCCTCTTTCTCTGTCCAAAAAGGAGGTGGTGGCAGTGTGAAGGGTTAATTGCATAATTAACCTGACCCAGTAACAATTTCTCTCAGGCTGCAGGCACACAGATGGTGGTCCATTAGCTGGAAAATCTTTGTGCAGGGTGCAGCTGGGCATGGCATTGTTGCGCATGTGACAGAGCGGTTTTTAGATTGGCTAGTCCTTCGGTCACGAGTTTGTTGAGAAGGGCTGGGGTCTGACGCCCGATCGTCACAGGTGTGTACTAATGAGGTCATTGCAGGATGTGCGTACTAATGAGATCAGCTGATAATCTGCTTCTGGGGTCCTACTTGCTTCTCTGTCCTCTGCCTAAATTCCTGGAATTGAACAAGCTTTCTAAGAAATTTACCAAGGGCTAAGTTAAGGCCTTGCTCTCAGATCAGAGAGCTTGTATATTTTTGCAACTGAGGTACATTAATGGTATGTTGGTGCATAGAGATGCATTGGGGTTAATTTACTAAAACTGGAGAGTGCAGCTATGTATAGAAACCAATCAGGTTTTGTTGTCAAAGCTTAATTGAACAAGTTGAAGTTACAAACTGGCTACCATGCACAGCTCCACCAGATTTTCCAGATGTAGTAAATCAACCCAATTGTCATCTTGCCCATGAAGGGCAAATTAGAAATGTCTCTGCAAAGGATCCATCCCCCATAGTAACTTTGCCTGTACTTCCATGCTTCTCCTTCCTTTGTCACAGCCATTGCTGAAACCAGGGGTATCATGGGCTTGAGAAGCGGCAATATCATTACATCAGTCATGTTACAAGGCTCATGCCTTAGTGACTACTAGGCCTTAGCACTGTCACAGGGGAGAAGGTCGAGAGCTCCACCATACTTGGAAATGTCAGGTAGCTTTATTGGCTGAAACAGAGGAAGGAGCAGGGAGAGAGTGCCAGAAAGGTGTTTATTAGGGTTTTGGGAGAGCACTTCGAGGAGACACGTAACATTGCCTTTTATAAGCAAGTTGACAGGAAATTTATGATTTTTTTTTTTTCACCTATAGTGTTACCAAGCTCAAACTTACTTATTAAAGAACTATACTATACCGAATACATTATGCTAATAAGCCATGCAACTTGCATAAACTTAGCCATTAAAAGTTTAAATAACATACTGATTGTGCAACACACACATTTTTTCCATTCTTCTAATTTTGTTGAGAAGAGAAGCATCTGGAGGAAGCCAACATTCCCAAGTTGTACTTCCAACCTACCCTGGGGACCATTTCTAAGTGTGTGACTTTTTAGCCTTTATAACTAAATTAATTTATAGAGGGGACTTGATCTGTAGTAAAACCCTAAGATGTATCCTGAAATAACATCTACATTTTGGCAGCTATGCAAAGATTGAGGAAACATGGCTCATTTATAGTGGACCTGTAAATGGATAATAAACTACTGGTTGTCAGCTTTTTATGTATTTTAAAACAAACAAAAGTCTTAGTTTGCTTACAGTGTCTACTAGATTTGATCTTTTATTTATTGTTGAAAAAATAAAATAATACCAACCATTCTTGCATGACTATTACACTTAAAACACATTGTTTTTTATGTTAGCCATTCATTTAAATTATTGAGATAAATATAAACTTTCATTTTGAAGGTGTCATTTCATACAAGACAGATATTTTCCTATAGGTCAGAAAACAATAGGGAGATATCTCCAACAGTTTATTCTTTAACCACTTCAAGCCCGGATACCTTCACCACTTCCAGTCCAGGCTAATTTTCAACTTTCAAAACTGTCGCACTTTGAATGCCAATTGCACGGTCATGCAACACTGTACCCATATGAAATTTGTATACTTTTTTTTTCATACAAATAGAACTTTTTTTTGGTTGTATTTGATCAATTTTTTTTTTTGCTTTATAAATATAAAATACCAAAAATTTTGAAGAAAAACTTTTTTTGCTTAGTTTTTGTTACATAATTTTGCAAATAAGTAATCTTTCTTCATAAATTTAGGCCAAAATATATTCTGCTACATTTTTGGGTAAAATCAATCCACAAGAATGTATATTATTAGGTCTGTGTGAATGTTATAGACTCTACAAACTATGGGATATATATCTGAAAATTGATCAGTAGAGACCCTAAAATGCAGGACACTGGTATGACATATGGCAGTGATCAGGACACTAGTATGGGGTATGGCAGTGATCAGAATGTTGGTATGAGGTATGGCAGGGATCAGGATGCTGTTATGGTGGTGATCAGGATGCTGGTATGGGGTATGGCGGTAATCAGGATGCTGGTATGGGGTATGGCGGTGATCAGGACACTGGCATGGGGTATGTCGGTGATCAGGATACTGGTATGGCATGTGGTGATCAGGACACTGGTATGGGGTTTGGTGGCGATCAGGACGCTGGTATGGCATATGGGGTGATCAGAATGCTGGTATGGGGTATGGCAGTGATCAGGATACTGGTATGGTGTATAGTGGTGATCAGGGCACTAGTATGGTGCATGACGGTGATCAGGGCACTGGTATGGTACATAGCGGTGATCAGGGTGTTGGTATGGTGTATGATGGTGATCAGGATGCTGGTATGGCATATGGCGGTGATCAGGACACTGGCATGGGGTATGGCGGTGATCAGGATACTGGTATGGCATGTGGTGATCAGGACACTGGTATGGGGTTTGGTGGCGATCAGTACGCTGGTATGGCATAAGGGGTGATCAGAATGCTGGTATGGGGTATGGCGGTGATCGGGGTGCTGGTATGGTGTATGACAGTGATCAGGGCACTGGTATGGCGTATGATGGTGATCGGGATGCTGGTATGGCATATGGCAGTGATCATGGTGCTGGAATGAGTATGGCGGTGATCAGAACACTGGTATGGCGGTGATCAGGACATTGGTATAGTGTATGGCTGTGTTTTTGTGAGCACTGGGACAGGGGACAGGGGCTGGCTGCATTTTTTATTTATATTACACTGGAGCAGGGATCAGGAACACTGGGGCAGTGATCATGGACACTGAGGTGGCTGGCACTGCAGTCTGCTAGTATACAAGCAGCCTGACAGGCTGCTTGTACACTCACATGTTGCATTATCAGTTCTCTCTGCTATCACAGTGAGAGTAGAGAGAACAAATCTTTACTTTTACCATACCTATACCATGTGATCACCTGTGATCTGGACACAGTGGTAGTGTGATCTGCTGTGTCTGGGTAACACACGGATTGCTGGGCTCCTGAGTGAGCACCCTAACAGCCATGCTGGAGCCTCTGATGCTCTGCTTCCTATTAGCCATCTATAAGCAATGGGCAGACGGGAAGCCATTAAAAGAAAACCTGAAATCCACTATTTGACTGGCCTCCCTCTGTATATTAGCATGGACGGAGTCTTCACCTTCTGTATATTCCTAATAAACAACAGCAGGACCCCTTACATTACACTTTGCAGACTCTATTCTCCACAGGAAATCAATATGCACTATATTGCCAAAAGTAAAACTATTGGGAGACCTGCCTTTACACGCACGTGAACTTTAATGGTATCCTAGTCTTAGTCCGTAGGGTTCAATATTTAGTTGGCCCACCCTTTGCAGCTATAACGGCTTCAACTTTTCTGGGAAAGCTGTCTACAAGGTTTAGGAGTGTGTCTATATTGACTATTCTTCCAGAAGCGCATTTGTGAGGTCAGGCACTGATGTCGGACGTGAAGGCCTAGCTCACCGTCTGTGCTCTAATTCATCTCAAAGGTGTTCTCTCGGGTTGAGGTCAGGACTCTGTGCAGGCCAGTCAAGTTCCTCCACCCCAAACTTGCTCATCCATGTTGTTATACACCTTGCTTTGTGCACTGGTGCGCAGTCATGTTGGAACAGGAAGGGGCCATCCCCAAACTCTTCCCACAAAGTTGGGAGCATGAAATTGTCCAAAATGTCTTGGTATGCTGACGCCTTAAGAGTTTCCTTCACTAGAACTAAGGGCCCAAGCCCAACCCCTGAAAAAACAACCCCACACCATAATCTCCCTCCACCAAAATTTAAACTTGGCACAATGCAGTCAGACAAGTACCGTTCTCCCGACAACCACCAAACCCAGACACGTCCATCAGATTGTCAGACAGAGAAGCGTGATTTGTCACTCCAGAGAACACATCTCCACTGCTCTAGAGTCCAGTGGCGGCGTGCTTTATACCACTGCATCCTACATTTCCATTGCACTTGGCAATGTAAGGCTTAGATGCAGCTCCTTGGCCATGGAAACCTATTCCATGAAGCTCTCTATGCACTGTTGTTGTGCTAACTTGAAGGCAACATGAAGTTTGGAGGTCTTTAGCATTTGACTCTGCAGACAGCTGGTGACTTCTGCGCACTGTGTGCTTCAGCATGTGCTGACCCCGCCCTGTCATTTTACATGGCCTATGATTTTGTGGCTGAGTTGCTGTTGTTCCCAGTTGCTTCCACTTTGTTGCAATACCACTAACAGTTGACCGTGGAATATTTAGTAGCAAGGAAATTTCACGGATGGACTTATTGCACAGGTGACAGCCTATCACAACACCATGCTTGAATTCACTGAGCCTCTGAGAGCGACCCATTCTTTCACAAATGTTTGTAGAAGCAGTCTGCATGTCTAGGTGCTTGATTTTATACACCTATGGCCATGGAGGTGATTGAAACACCTGAATCCAATGATTTGGAAGGGTGTCCAAATACTTTTGGCAATATAGTGTATTTTGCTTCATGCTGCAATGCTTAGTTTAACCAACAGTTGGTGCTGTACGTAAAATCTGTAACTGAAAACGTTCACAAGAAAATCTGGAAAGTGCATGAACATTCCTATGTTTCTTAAAAGAATAATCCTAAAATAAAATCATACTTTTTAATTTAATATATATTATTTAAAAATATATAGCTTATATATATGTAGTTACTTGCAGCATACTGTATGTACTATGTTTCTAATTACAGGAGCAATATGCTATATGCATGTATTTCCTAGCAGGATCTACAGTATACTATGGTTTCAGTCTGTTTAGAAACTAACACTTTTGGAAGTATTGATCTCCTGGTCACTTATTGCATTCCTATCACCACTGTGTCATGTAGTGAAGAAGAGGTTGAAGGGAGGAACCACTATGCATTAATTTTGTTTTAGCTACAGAGTCACCATAAACATCCTGCCCACGCACTTATAGTCCCTGCCATGTTTGGTAAAGTTCTTTGAAATCTATGGAAAATGTGAGGATTTCCATAACACAAAGGTTAGATGTATTAAAGATATAAAGAGTGTTCACTTATCTTAGTGAATCAAGTGAAGCAATTTTCAGTTTAAATAACCATTCATGTTCATGATCTGTTGCTAAGCTATTTTTTACATTCTTGATAGCATAGGCCAGTGGTGGGCAACCTTTTTTTTCAACTGAGCCAAATCTCGCCAAAACCACGATTGAAATTTATTTTGAGAGCCACATTTTTAAAACTGAAAATACATCCCCCATATAGTAATTCATCCCCCATAGTAATTCATCCCCCATATAGTAATTCATCCCCCATAGTAATTCATCCCCCATATAGTAATTCATCCCCCATAGTAATTCATCCCCCATATACTAATTCATCCCCCATAGTAATTCATCCCCCATATAGTAATTCATCCCCCATAGTAATTCATCCCCCATATAGTAATTCATCCCCCATAGTAATTCATCCCCCATAGTAATTCATAGTGTGCTCCGGAGCCGCAGCAAAGGTGAAAAAGAGCCACATGCGGCTCTGGAGCCGCAGGTTGCCAACACCCGGCATAGGCAATGAGTTAAACATTTTCTGTGTTCACGCTTCCCTTTCACCCTAACAGGTGTCTTTTTTAGAATGTCTCTTTAACCTATTGTTCCATTGACAACTGTACAATTTTGGATTTCCCATCACTTTGTGGGCTCTATTCAAAAAGTGGTATCTAGAGCTTTAAGAACTGCAGTAAAATACCTCTTAGCGTTTTTCAAACATTCTTTTTGCAATTCACAAAAAAAATTACTAAAATATTGGATGAGCTATTTTAGGAAGTGATGTGGTATTTTAGTAAAGCTAGCTGTATTTTAACACCAGCGGTAGTCGTTTTCATTAGCAACTAGTAAACAACATGGTTGTTAAGGAGTGTGTGGGCCTTCCTTTCCATAATAACCATGACCCATATGCTGTCAGTGGGGTTCCCTGAGGACAGCAGAATTTAAACAAAAGAATGGCTTGCATTAAAAAAAAACAGTGTGAGCGTCCCCCCCAATCCTTACCAGGACCTTTGGGTCTGGTATGGATTTTAAGGGGAACCCCATGCCAAAATGTTTTAAAAAATTGGCATGAGGTCCCCCCCACAATCCATATCAGACCCTTTTCTGAGCATGCAGCCTGGTAGGCCAGGACAGAGGGGGACGAGCAAGCACCCCCCCCCCCCCCGAACCATACTATGCCACATGCCCTCAACAGATGCCCTCAGCACAGCTAGAAAACTAACCACTCTGTGCTATAATGCCTAATGTGGTCAGTTTTTCACAGGAAAGCAGAGGGACTGGCAGGCGCACAAGGTATTTCAAATAAAGGAAGCAATACAAAGAGAACAGGATACATTTTCATACAAGTACATGGCACCGCAGGTACATATCAGGAATTTGAAATTTTGGGTTGACATATTATTTAAGGTTATACAGGTTATATGTGAAAAGTAGTGCAAAACACCACATGTTGCCTAGGAATAGTAAGTTAGAAATATTCCTATACAATATTTTATATTTACTTTACAAAGTTAATGAAAAAAAATCAAATTGTGTGTGTGTGCTGTGTGTGTGTTTGTGTGTATACAGTTCAATCTAGGTACATTCCTGCATCTGGATTTTAATTCACCAGCATTAACTTCTGCTATTCACAGCAGTTATATAATTTGGCTGTGTTGGGTTGCTGAAATATGCAGGAATTTATGAGACTGTTCAACTAAAAAATAAATTTGCAGGATAAAAAAAGTGGGACCGGGATAGCGCATACTAGGTCTCCAAGAAGGAATTATTGATAAGAACAGTAAATGTGTTAAAGGTGATCCAGATTGACAAATGTAACATTGGCACTAAGTTAAATACAGTCAATGCTACTTAAATGGGATATCCCATTGAAGAATAGATAATCCAGAGTTTGCAAGAACAGAGTATGAAGAAACTTGATTGAATACATGTAATGGCAAAACACAGTCACTGTAGAGCTAATCTGAGGTTTATGTAAGACTTTTAAACGTAGACCTAATTTTGCTTAAAGCGTAACTAGTCACTGTAGAGCTAATCTGAGGTTTATGTAAGACTTTTAAACGTAGACCTAATTTTGCTTAAAGCGTAACTCCACTTTCGTGGGGAAAAAAATTGCAAATAAAAAAATGTAATATAGCATATACAATTCCAATTACATACTGTATTGTAATTGAATGTTATAAAAAAAAATTACCTTTCCTTTTCAATTTTCAGTAAAATGCAATGCAATATGGAAACCTGGAGGTGTTCTGTACACATATGATGTACAGAATGCTTCCCAGACACATCATTCCCTGCTGTGTGAATGGTTCACTGATTTTCCCAGAAATCTGCACTAAGATACATATCAGATTTTGAGCATCCCTTGCAACAAAAATGTTATTTTTGGTTAGATACTCTCAAAAAAGAAATCATGTCTAAAGGGATGTAGACCCTGCCAATTTCCTCATTAGAATCCTGCAGGTGCAGTAGCTAACTGATCATTATACAACAACTTCTATACAGATTCACTCTGCACATGGACACAGGCAATCAAATCCAAAGTAGGAATGGTCCATTTCTAGTCAACTGTAGACTGATAAACAAAAAGTTCTATATTGAGATTGAATTGTTCAATCTAGATCCAATAAAAAGTAGAAATGTTAAGCTTGCTAACAAACCATACCTTATTGAATATTGATATTGTTTAATATAAGATAGTATTATAGTGAATTAATTATATTAACCCATGAGTTGTGAGTGGGGCCACTCCACCTGCACATGGCAGTACCTTTTGCCATGCACGCGCTCATCAATGCCTGGGCGGTGACTACGGTCATCTGAAAGCCAATCATTATGGCTTTACCCCAGCTTAGAAATGAGCTGTGCACTGTGTGTAGTTGTGTGAAATGCAGAGTTCCTCTGTAAAGCCTTCTGTCCTCTGTTATTACACGCTTTATCTGTAGTATGTTGCATTTAAGATGGACACTGTTGAGCCTATGCCCTCTCTCAAAGCGTCCTTCATAAGGTGTATTTCTTAGAGCCCACTGATCATAGGTTGGTATTTACACAGTGCAGAGTTGCTCATAGTTCTCTTAGGTGGGCTGTGTAACCCCCAAACACTCCAAGAGACTAGGGGAACATCCGCCATATTGACAAATATAAAGATATGAGCCGATAGATGTAGAGAGCTACAGAATAAACATGGATACCTTCATTCCAAGGGGGTCCTAAGCTCACAGACAATCATAGCTATGGCTGAGATAGCCTGGACACTTTGTACACTTAAAACAGGCAAACAAATGAGAAGTCAAAACACAGCACATCTGTGTGATTTGCAAAAGTTCCAAAATGTAGAGCAGGTATACCGGATATAGAAAATCCAAGATACAATTTCTGGGGTAAGTGTCCAGCACACCTCCAGGGAAATTAGGCTTTGCTTGCCTTGTAGCCAACATATTTCTTGTAGAATTGCTGTATTGAATGTAGCATTGAAAGTCATGTAGCAGTATCTCAACTTTACAGTAGTAGAAAGGTTCCCTGTTACAGAAACAGAATGACACAATGTACGTGTTTGGTTCACAACTCGCTAGTGAATTGCTTCAGGTTGTTGATCACATAGGTGGGCCTCATTCATATCCAGCCTGAGAATCTGAAGCCTCTGAAACCATGTCAAAGAAATGCACCTGGCCCCTGACTGTATCTCTCCGGCAAGGCATCATGTTGAGACTTCAGGACTGCAGCTTCCTCCCTGTTTCACCTGGTCATCATACTGGCCAGATATGTTGGGACCACATCGGGTGGAGCCCATAATGTTGTATAGCTAGTTGAAGGTACCTGTTAGCAATATATCCATCAAGGAAAGGATTGTTTTCAGCTCAATGCTCTGTGCAGCATCCCCCCCCCCCCAACTCCCCAATACTCACCTAAGCCCCCTCTCGATCCAGCGATATACACTGGAGTCTCGGCTATCCCAGGACTCCCTCTTCTCATTGGCTGAGAGAGAAGCAGGAGCCAGGGGAAGAGAGGGGGGGGGGGGCAAGCCATGGCTCTGTGTTTGAATGGACATATGGAACAGTGGCTGCCCCCATAGCAAGCTGTTTGCTGTGGGAGCACCCAACAGGAGGGAGAGGCCAGGAGTGCCGGCGGGGGACCCGAGAAGAGGAGGATCTTGGCTGCTCTGTGCAAAACAACTGCACACAGCAGGTACGTATAGACATGTTTGTTATTATAAAATAAGCCTTTAAAATCACTTTAATCTTACCTTTATA